GTGAACATCAGGTGTTATGATACGTTAGGCGCTATGAAACATAAGTGGTTATGACACACTGGGCGTTCCGATACACTAGGCGCTGTGATGTATTAGGAATTGCAATACATTAGGAGTTGTGAAACATTAGGTGATTTGATACACTAGGCCTAATGATACGTTAGGTGAAGTGACACATTAGAGGTTATGAACATTAGGCCTTGTGATACGTAAGGAGTTACGAACATTAGGGGTTATGATAAATTAGGGGTTATGACATATTAGAGGTTATGAACATTAGGCCTTGTGGTACATTAGGTGTTCCGAACATTAGGTGTTGTGATACATTAGGGGTTACGAACATGAGGTGCTGCGATAATCCCCCCTTAGAAACAACGTCATAAACCAGAATGTGAATGCAAGTAAACGATACAAAACGACGGATTGATATGCCGGAACACCACGAAAATGGGCTAAAACACGCGCACACAACGATACTTGGGTGCTAAAAACGCCGTACCATCTAGCATTACACCTATCAAGAAGTTGAAGTACCACAAGTTGGTCAACCTGTCCGCTTCGGAAAGGCTGCGATGGGAATTTCGCAAAGCTATTTTGGCGGCCCCTCTAGACATCATGTAACCATTCCATGACGCAATTAAGCGATGGCATATTGAGAAACATGTTTCTTAAATGGTGTGATTGCCTTGTCAAGAGCGGTCTTTTGCACTTAAAAGTTTACGAATGTTTACAACTGAACTTATTTAGGCACAAGTCATGCTTACTTAGTCATGCCCCAAGATCTTTCAAAGGGAAATTTTCTCATAATCACACCGCCATTTTATTTCTTATAGTTACATAGGTGCCATCAATGTGAGCTGCTAGCAACAGTGTTTTGTAAGACCTTTCTGGTCCAATCTGAATGGCATGCTACGGTCATTTGCATTCAGATGTTTCTTTACTTCGCCTGCCGTGTCATCAGCGCGGCTGTTGCACTTGACCAGGGGCGGATCCAGAGGGGTGAGGACACTGGGCCATGCCCCCTGGGGCCCCGAAAGGGCCCAGGCACCGGGTTTTGGGTACATCTTATTTGAATGGAGGTCCTTACGCTTCTGTCGGGGCCCCTTCTGATAAGATGCTCGGGCCCATTCGATCGTGGGAGACTACATGGGGGTTTTGAGTACTTCCCTCTTAAATGGAGGGCCCTCCGCGCTTTTCGGGGGACCCTATCTGTTAACCTGCTCCGGCGCACTCGATTATCCGGGCTCTCTACATCGTGCCGTGGGTATCTTACATTTGAACGGAAGGCCGTACGGTCTTGCCGGGGGTCCCATCTGTTAACCTGCTCGGGCGCACTCGAATATCCGGGGGCCCTCCACATAGTGTCTTGGGCACTTCCTATTTGAATGGAAGGCCCTATGTACTTGTCGGGGACCCCACCTGTTCGCCGCTTCGGCCACACTAAATTGTCCGGGGGCCCTGCACATCGGAACTTGGTGTCCGAATTTAGAGCCCTACAATTCTGTCTGGGCCACCTGATAATCTGCTCGGGTATATTCCATCTTTCGGGGGCCCTCCGCACTGGGTTTTGGGTACTTTTTTTTGAATGGAGGGCCATACGTTCTTCTTGGGTCCCTTCTGATGAGCTCCTCGGGCACGTTCTATCGTTGTGGGGGCATTCGCATAAGTTCGCCGGTGCCTCCCATTCGAATGGAGAGCCCTACGCTTCTGTTGGGGGCCTTATTTGTGGGACCCCAACAAGACCTGACCTGCCTCAACGCGCCAAAGACATGCTCGGGCACACTGGATCATTCGGAGGCGCTCTTCATTGGGTTTTTGGTATTTCCTATTTGAATGGAGGACCCTACGCTGTTGACGGGGGCCCTATATGTTAGCCTGCTCTGACGCAATGGATTATTGGGGGGGTCCTCTGCGTTGGGTCTTGAATACTTCCCATTGAACGGAGGGCCCTACACTCTTTTTGGGAACCTTATCTGTTGACCTGCTCGGGCACACTCGATCATTCGAGGGCCACCACATTGGGGTCATGGGTATTCCTATTTGAATGGAGGGCTCTATGCCCTTGATGGGGGGGCCGCTATATGTTACTTCTTCTGGCACACATCGATCGTTCAGAGCCCTACACATTGTGGTCGTAGTGTTTCTTTTTGAATGGATGGCCTATGTTCTTGGTGGGCCGCATCTATTAAGCTGCTCATACCCGGTGGCGTGATGCAGAGGGGGGGGGGGGGGGGGGTGGGTGGGGGGGGGGGGGGGGGGGGGGTTGGGGGGGGGGGGGGGGGGGGGGGGGGGGGGGGGGGGGGGGGGGAGGGGGGTGGGGGGGGAGCGGGAGGTACGGACCATGGCCCATGGGCCATGCCGACGACCAAGAACAATTTTAGCCAAAAGTAAAGAGTTTATAAAGCAGATCAAGTTCATTTTTGCTGATCGGGAAGCGTTGCTTGCGGGAAATTTTTGGAGCTCATTACGCTGTTAGTTTCCTGACACTACATGTCCACTTGGCGGGTCAATCCGATCGCTAAGCAAGCTTTCCACGTTACCCTTGGATCTCTGCATCTTGTCGTAGGGCCCAATGTGCTGTTGGGACGCTATCTGCCTCCATGCCTGAGCATTGTTGATCGATCAGTTTCTCCTCCGCGGATTGTCCCAATTCGCCCAAAAGCTCTTAAGCTTTTTCCAGGCCCATATGCCAGGGTAAACCTCAGTTGCTCAGGGGCCCGTCATTTAAGTCTCGGAGTCTTTCCTACTTGCTTGGAGGGTCTTGTGCTGTTGCTAGGGCTTTTATACGGTAAAGGCACGGAGGTACCTCGATGCTTAGGGGGGCCGTCCTCTTCGATCGAGGGCTCTCTCCCTTTGGTCTCATTTGCCGAGGACTCTTCATTCCTATCGAGGCTCGTGTTGTTAATCTGCCCGCGCAGTCTTGATTGCACAGGGGCTGCTAATCATGGTCTTGGATAATTCCGCTTCGCTGGGGGGTTCTGTGCTCTGGCCGGGGCTTTATATGTCAGCCTGCCAAGGCACTACCGGTCGTTCATGGGCCCACCACGTTGGTCTTGGTTCTTTTGCTTGCTCTGGCGAACTCTATACTTATTGATGGGAGCCACTTGTTGGCCTCCTGCAGCATCCATGAATCGCTTGGGTTTCGTCCCTATTGGCCCTGGTGCCTTCGCCTCAGAGCAGCAGTCGAATATGCGCTGATAAATTTTTACGCGCAATGACCGAACGTAATTTGACATGCCGCCGACGTCGCACTGTGTCATTTTCATCAGCTATTGAGTGTGTAACACTTATTATACTTGTGCATCACGTTCTTAACCTATTTAGATTGCTAGGATATGTTGTACTCCTTATAACAGAGGAAAATTATACACTAGCCCATCAGCCATCAGCTGATTACTTCGCCCAGCCGGCTAGCCGTAAAACAAAACCTAGGAATCAAGTCCATGCTTGGTGTTGATGGTTGTTAGCAGCTAACTCAAGTTATTTTGCCTGTTGTTCCGAAACACTTGTCCTCAAAAATCACGGTATTTAACATGATGCGTAGAAGTGAGCCAGTTCTATGTGTACGCATGCGTAGCACGCATAGCTTTATGAGGCCGTGCACAGCAAGATGGGCTTCCGTATTTATGAAATAAATGAATGATTAAATACATACATGCATATACACGTACCTATATATCCAATATATATATATATATATATCTATATATATATATACGTTACATACGACTTGTCTTAAAATGTAATGTCCAAAATACAAGGCTATTTTTTGGACCGGCCCCAAACTCCAGGGGCCCTACAATTACTTGCGCGGCCCCTCCTTGACGAAATCCTGGATCCGCCCCTGCACTTGACGAGGTAGGGCTGTAGGGAACATCCATATTTTGGAAAGAAAGCCATTCGTTTCCTCAGGTCGCCAAGACTGGCCGGCCGGATGGTCGCGCCTCTCTTTGCGGGATTATCGGCTGACGCTGATCCATCAGATCCACAGACCACAACGACTGCTGTTGCCTACTATTGACCGAAGCGAGGAGGACACTGCTGGACCCGCCGGCGGAAACTCAGTGTCCAGCGACACTACGGCACCGGATGGAACAGAACCGTCCCGTTAGCGGACAAACGGAGGCAGTCGCCAGCGTGCAGCGCCAGTTGCGTGCCTTCAACCCGGCACCATCCGGTTTGATGCCTCCTCCTGGTGTTTTCACGCTTCCCTAGTATTTAGTATGCAACTGATTTGATGAAACAGTGTATTGCAAAGATGACAGATTAGAAGCGTTAGAAGAAGCAGTGCAAATGAAAAGACTTGCGTTCATAGTGGTGACCATGCAGTTTATTAAGATTTCTCCCACCAAAGCAGCTGCTTCTGGTCAAAATTATGACCTATTAAGGATTTTAAAGAGGCTAAAAGTTACACCAACTGAAAAGGTATTGCACCCTGGCTGGAACGGAATGAGTCCTACATTCTAAATACTAAATATTCATCTCATTTACTACGCAATGAGCGATCACAAACCCTGAAGCAGGAGTGTAGTTCCCTATTCAGCTGGAGGCTTCGGTCCCCCCCCCCTCCCCAACTTCGGGAAGAAAATTGACGAGATCTGAGGAGATAGCCGTTTCGGGCATATTTTGAAGGTAGGTTGGATCATCTCTACTACTCTTCCCCACTCATTTTGTGAAACTACAACCCCTGCCCTGAAGATCGTGCTCACTTTCACTTGTTCAACAATCATGCTTTGTCTTTTGATAGTCATTTATCTTCGTCATGTATCGTAAGCCACATTCATCGGGACGCAAAGGCAAATCGTGAATGTAAGCTGCGTGGTACATCCGGCCGGGCAGGAGAGACAGACCGGCCGGCGTTCCAGTGTCAAACTTCACTTAAAACCCAGACAGGAAATTGGAACTTTTCCTCATCTACCCCACTGACCTGTACAGCAAGAACCTACTCCAGTGACATGGAATGTTCGTACAACATTCCAACATTGTCGGGTCGAGCGTACCTGTTGCAGCGCGCAGGCGCGGGCGACCCTGCTCGGACGGCAGCACCTCCAAGTCTGCGGCCGGCCTCTGAGGAGCTCGGAGCCGAAGCCCCACCGACGATATTTGTGTGTGTGTGTGTGTGTGTGTGTGGGTGTGTGTGTGTGTGTGTGTGTGTGTGTGTGTGTGTGTGGTGTGTGTGTGTGTGTGTGGTGTGTGTGTGTGCGTGTGCGTGCGTGTGCGCGTGCGCCTGAGCGAGAGAGGGAGAGAGAGAGAGAGAGAGAGAGAAGAGAGAGAGAGAAGAGAGAGAGAGAGAGAGAGAGAGAGAGAGAGAGAGAGAGAGGAGAGAGAGAGAGAGAGAGAGAGAGAGAGAGAGGAGAGAGAGAGAGAGAGAGCACGTGCTGAGCCAGCTTGCCTGATCTGCGTCGCCCAGGCCAACCCCCAGGCCACTTCATCTCGGGGACTATCGTTATTAGATTATCGATTCCGTCGATCCCTTCTCAGACGTCACCCAACAGTGTATCGGGGCGAAAGCCCGACCACTCCTCAGAAGCGCTGCCAAACATCGATTTGTGCCCGGCACGAAACAGCTTTCAAAACCGGCGCGAGTTTTACAGCATCCGCGTGTTGGACAGAAGTCAGAGGAAAAGCTGTCAGTATTCTTTACCCACAGTCAGCTGCAAGACATCGCGACAATGCCAAGATTAATCGCACGTGCGTTTGCGAGGCCTAAGTCCCCTGTACCTTCGTTTTCAGCGTCCGTAGCTGACCTGGATAGGGGTAACAAACAGGTTTTCTGCAATAAAATAGCTACTGGTCCAACCAGAAGGCCTATGGTAAGTGACACTGGGTTGGATTACAAACGCTGAACTGTGTTCGTGTTCACAAGCGACAGTGAAGACAGCTTGAAATTGAAAAGTGGAGTTTTGCAATATGACCACTGTTTACCAAATCAGGTCGTTCTACCAGTGACTCACGGTAAACTGATGCGCACTATTGTTCCGCAAAGTACTCAGAATACACAGTGGTCAAAAAAATCAGGACCTCAAAAGATTCTTGTTCACATTTACAGGAATTCACTCGACTGAGGCTTGTATGGGACCATGTACCATGGATTGATGTTGTTGATTGGTTGCATGATGACATATTACTTTCGTATTGCTCTATTCTATGATGGTGCATTGCTATTGTACTGCGTCGATGCCTGCAATCAACGCATCTCTAATTGGAATCAATCCACGGCATCGCATCAAATAGCACCAGGCAACGCCACGAGTGCAGCAGTGGTGTATTGCAATGCAAATTACGTGAACATAACGCAACAGATAACACGGGCAGCAATGGCGTGACTCGGCGGTAGACGGGCGCGGCCTCGTGCGGTGACCGCTGCCGCACCACTGCCGTTTCGGCGGCGGCCACGGCCCGACCAGGCGCCTGGGTGCTGGCCGGCGGCTCACTCCTCGCCCATCAGCGGCAGGAACACGGCCGCGTCCGGGAAGATGCGCAGCTCGCCGGCGCCGATCGGACCCTTGTTGCACATCGGGCACGGGTCGTCCGACTCGACGAACCTGCCACAGAGCGGCTCCCGTCAGCTCAGGTCGGGCCGACCGGGACAGGGACGGTGCTGGGTGGTGACACGGCCAGGGTAGGGCCGTCAGCGGCCCGGAGGACCCAAGTCAGTCGGGCGGACCGGGACAGGGACGGTGCTGGGTGGTGACACGGCCAGGGTAGACCCCTCAGCAGCCCGGTGGACCCAAGTCAACCTAGAGGACCGGGACAGGACAGTGGTGGGTGGTGACACGGCCAGGGTAGGACCCTCAGCAGCCCGGGGGACCCAAGTCAACCTAGAGGACCGGGACAGGACAGTGGTGGGTGGTGACAACGGCCAGGGTAGGACCCTCAGCAGCCCGGGGGACCCAAGGCAGTTCGGGCGGACCGGGACAGGACAGTGGTGGGTGATGACACGGCCAGGGTAGGACCCTCAGCAACCCGGAGGACCCAAGTCAGTCGGGCGGACCGGGACAGGACAGTGGTGGGTGGTGACACGGCCAGGGTAGGGCCGTCAGCGGCCCGGAGGACCCCCGTCAACCTAGAGGACGCGGGACAGGACAGTGGGTGGGTGATGACACGGTCCAGGGTAGGACCGTCAGCAGCCCGGAGGACCCCCGTCAACTAGAGGACCGGGACAGGACAGTGGTGGGTGATGACACGGCCAGGGTAGGACCCTCAGCAGCCCGGGGGACCCAAGTCAGTCGGGCGGACCGGGACAGGACAGTGGTGGGTGATGACACGGTCAGGGTAGGACCGTCAGCAGCCCGGAGGACCCCCGTCAACCTAGAGGACCGGGACAGGACAGTGGTGGGTGATGACACGGTCAGGGTAGGGCCGTCAGCGGCCCGGAGGACCCCCGTCAACCTAGAGGACCGGGACAGGACAGTGGTGGGTGATGACACGGTCAGGGTAGGGCCGTCAGCGGCCCGGAGGACCCCCGTCAACCTAGAGGACCGGGACAGGACAGTGGTGGGTGGTGACACGGTCAGAGTAGGACACTCAGCAGCCGGGAGGACCCCCGTCAGCAGGGCGGACCGGGACAGGAGAGTGGTGGGTGGTGGCACGGTCAGGGCGCCCCCCCCCCCTCCCATCAGCCGGGCGGGCCGGGACAGGGACAGGGCAGTCATGAGCGCGGATGGCGTCATACTCGCGCCAAATCCGCGGACATAGCGCCCGGGTCGGTGACGGGACAGGATTGAAGCCGATGACGAGCGGCTGCGCCGGCCACACCGAAGCATGGAGAAGGCACACGGAAGAGGGGAACAGACATTGTTCAATCAAAACAGGAATACATCATGCAGGCACTCATCACGCGTCACACACCAGGCTTATCGTGACCAGCGTGGTCACGGACAGCCTCGAGAATTCCATGGGTCAACAAGCAAGACGTGTCTGTGAAGGTACCTCCGTCCAATGCGTCCAATGATGTTTGCGCGGCCGAGACACTGGCCGTATCTGTCCAAGCACCCTCCCCCCCCCCCCCCCCTCCCTCCTCTCCCCGCCAGTCGCGGTACTCACTTGGCCAGCTCCGAGCGGATGGCCGGGAAGTTGCAGAACGGACACTCTGTGAGGTCGTCTTTGACTACGTGACGGCCGGAGGCGATGCAGTAGGGCAGCGTGTGCTTGCACTTGTCGCAGTTGAGCTCGGTCTCCGCGATCATGTTATCGCAGAACGGACAGGCGGCCGGGAACTCCTCCTCCTCCGTTTTGGCCGGCTTGCGCACCACCGCCTCGATCTTCTTGCGGTATTTGGCATCCACCTGGTCCCGGTACTCGGGCTTCATTAGAGTGGCGGCGAACTGGAACGACGATTTCTTGAGACCGGAGCGCTGGCACTCGATCACCGTCGAAGTCAGGATGGGCACGGTGTCTGCCGGCCAACGCAAGGACATCGGTCAGCGGGTCGCCGCGCCGCCGCCGCCCGCGCGCAGTACACACTCGACAGCGGCTCGCGGCCAGCGACGCACCAAATCGAGGAGAATGGTGGCCAGCAGAAATCACGCTCCGTCGCCCACGCCCACGGCAAATGAAATGTCAGCTTAAGCGAATCTTAGGCCCCTGGACTCTGTGAGCCATACCGCACGCCGGCTGCCAAAACACGGCACATGCAGTATCCCCCTCGGAAGACCTGCGGTGGCGACACCGGCCGACGATTCGGTCCACACAGGGTCCACCCCCCCCCCCCCTCCCTCCCTGCGGTGGCGATACCGGCCGAAGATTCGGTCTACACCGGGTCCCACCCCACCCCCACCCCACCCCACCCACACTCCACCCCACCCCACCCCAACCCACCCCCACCCCACCCCACCCCCCACCCACCCACCCCACCCCCACCCCTCCCGCTGCAAACGTCGGGCGATGCCCTCCCGGGAGGCCAGCGGTGTGCCGGCCGTCAAGAAGACGCACGGGCTGGGAACTTGGAGATGTTGTTGGCGACCCTGATAAGCAGGCGCGCCGCCATCAGGTGCTCGTTCCGCTTGACGTGGATCCGCGCCAGGATGTACGAGTGCAGCATCATCATGTTGGACGCCAGCTCGTTCGGCACGCGTATCTTGTGCTTCCGAAGCTCCTGGTACATGCCTAGCAGCATGTCGTGGGCGTTTCTGCAAGAACATATCGTATAGCAAGAAACACATGGCACTCAATACAAATGGCACATCCACAGGTCGCGTGGAAAGGAAGCGAAATAATGATTCACAGAAGCTACAGCCACAAAACAAATTAGCATACATTAGTCAAACATCGAAAAAGAGCGCACTTGAAAAGCACTTACAGTCCAGCACCAGCTGCATTCCATCAACGGTCTGGCAGAATCCCCGGAAGCAGGACTCTTCCTCTGGGCGTGCATCAGACTCCACTGCAGTGTTCGGGCAGAGAGTTCCTCGACATCCTCACCGTTCCGTCCAGATACATACCCCGCTCTACCTCACCAGTGCGGGTCGACCCTCTGGAGACATACCCCACTCCACCTCACCCAGTGCGGGTCGACCCTCTGGAAACATGCCCCGCCCCAACTCACCGGTGCGAGTCGACCCTCTGGAAACAGACCCCGCCACACCTCACCGGTACGAGCCGACCCTCTGGAGACATACCCCACTCCATCTCACCGGTACGAGCCGACCCTCTGGACACATACTCCGCCCCCAATTTACCGGTACGAGCCGACCCTCTGGACGCATACCCCCACTCCACCCCACCAGTGCGAGTCGACCCTCTTGAGACATACCCCCACTCCACCTCGCCAGTGCAAGTCGACCCTCTTGAGACATAACCCGCCACACCTCACCGGCACGAGCCGACCCTCTGGAGACATGCCCCGTCCCACGTCACCGGTACGAGAGTCGACCCTCTGGAGACATACCCCGCCACAGCTCACCGGTACGAGCCAACCTTCTGCTCCTCCTTGGCGATGATGACGGCCGTCTTGGCCGACTCGCGGTACATCTTGCGCGCCATGTACAGCCGGAACAGGTACTTGGGGTCCTTGGGCACGCCGTCCTGCTCGCCCAGCAGGAAGTCAATCACCTGCTTGGCCAAAACCCTCCGAGTTGGCCTCGCCCACCACGTCGATGGCCAACATGATGGCGTCGGCCTCCTGGGCGCCCTGGGCCGCCCTTCAGCAGCAGCTTGATCGCCTGTCGAGAGAGGAGAAAGAAGAGCGGCGTTAAGGCGGTCGACAGTCGGCGTCGGCAGGAGACGGCCGCTCACGGCGAGAGATGGCGACGGGTGAGTGCCGCGGCCGCACCGGCGCACGTGGCGCACCAGCCCCAGCGGCGAGGCGGCGGCGCGCTGCACCACAGCCGTGACGGACGGCTGCGGCTCCAGAGCGCACCGACGCCGTGACGGACGGCTGCGGCTCCAGAACACGCTGACGCCGTGACGGACGGCTGCGGCTTCAGAGCACGCTGACGCCGTGACGGACGGCTGCGGCTCCAGAGCACGCTGACGCCGTGACGGACGGCTGCGGCTTCAGAGCACGCTGACGCCGTGACGGACGGCTGCGGCTCCAGAGCGCACCGACGGCGCACGCCCTGCGGCGGCCGTACCTTGGTCGAGTCTCCGGACATGTGATGGAACTTGCCAGCCAGGAAGTAGTTCATGGAATTCTCGTAGTGCAGCGCCATGCTGCGGTAGTCCTCTGGACGGCCGTCTGCAGCCGAGCCATAGGCATACAGTTAGCCCAGCGGCCCGGCAGGCATCTCCGGAGGGTGCGACGGATCGTCTCATGCACCACATCACCCGGCTGAATCGCAGTCGGTACCCATCGGCGGTACCAACATCGCTCAGGTTCTCACGACGACACAACCTTTCTGATAATTGGCATTCGCTTGCGGAACTTCGCTTTTGTAAGATATAACACCGATAACACCATAACACCGTAGCACCGATATGAACCGAAAATTTTAGGTAAACGCGACTGTGCCGTGCTAACAAACATCTGTTGAGGTAAGCACGTAATAAGAGAAACCGGGCCCAAATACTGGGAATAAAAAGGCTGCCGTATAGCTGGCGTGTTACAAGTACTATCCCGCTGTCGATCGCATGGACGGAGCTAAGAAATATTATGAACAATACAGAAGCCCTGAGGGAGGTACACTGCTGACCATTTCCGATGATGTCGGCGAAGGTGTCCATTTTGCCGTGCTTCTGAGCCAGGTTAAACGCCTCCTCGATGCACTTGGACATAACCAAAAACTGAATGGCCGAAGCAAAGTCGCCCATCTTCATGAAGAATCTGATTACCGCGAGCAAAAACACGAGTTAAGTGAAAACGACAAGAACTATTAGAATCGACCACACAACGAATGAGGATCTTCAAGAAAAGCATCGGCCCAAAAACGTTTGGGTAAAAATAAAACATGGAGACCTTAGCGTACAAAGACCTGCACGGAGCGCATTAAGTATGAGCGTGTGCAGCGTGGTAGTCATCAACGGTCTGAGAGATTACACTCAGCGCCCGGCAGGCTACATGCGGATACAAATGATTCTCTCACGACCACATAGTCCGCTCAGAAGCGGCAGAGCACACTGTGTGTGTGTGTGGGGGGGGGGGGGGGGCGACGCCGGCGGCGGGCGCGGCCACCACACTCACTTGGCCACCAGACGGGCGCCCTCCACGCTCTTGGACTCCTGCACGACGGCGACGGCCTGCTGCGGGTTGTTGAGGTGGGTCCAGCAGGATGCGCACCATGCTGTCGTATTCGCGCGCCGTCTCGTAGGCGGCCAGCGCCTCCTTGTACTTGCCCTCGGCCTCGCGCGCCTGCCGGCCGGCCGACCGCCGTCACGTCACGTCACGGTCACGTCACGTCACGCCACGTCACGTCACGTCATGTCACGTCATGTCACGTCCTCTCAGGGGTGGATGCCATGTCCGCACAGGACTGGCGAAAGGTGCAATCGGTAGTCGCTGGCCTCGGCCGTTCGTCCTGCTGGGCTCTGATGTGGTGTTTTGTAAATATCGTGGAAGTTAGTTTGGCATGGCTTTGGCTCCGCCATAGTTCTTTCGGTCTTGGAGACCATTGCAGAGCTATGGGACTAGGTAGAAAAACAGCAAGTGGTAAGATACCGTAGACCCCCTCGCCCTCAAACACACGCTCCCAGACGAATGCACGGAGCTCGCGCAGTGAACCGCTGCCAGGTCACCGCAGTGGACCATACATACCTGCTGCATGGTCCAATGTGGCGAAAACTGGACAGTCATGTGTCTACATGCCCGGGTGACACTGGGAGCACCAGCAGCCTTACGTTAGGCCAGAGGGATGCAGAGCACGTTAGTCAGATGTAGCGTAATGTTCAGGCTCAGTCGCACAGGCTGAGGTGTCGCAACGGGGGCAGCCGGACAGCCCCCCCCCCCCCCCACCCTCCCTCCCACTCTTCATCCTAAAAAATAAGACCCGCAAAACTCAAGCATTTACGCAATACCCAAGACAATGGGGATATGTTGGTGAAACCGTTCCGGCTTGCTCCTCTGCCCGGAAAATCCCGGCGACGCCTGCAGCGTGCTGCCGTCTCACGTGACGAGGGACGCGCGTGCGCCGAGCCGCACGACGCTGCGGACGCACGGTCCGCGCGACGCACGGTCAGCGCCGATTCCCACGCACCGGCGTGTTAATGCCCCCTGGCTCCCTCGCCACCCACCTAAGGGAGACTGAAACCAGTATGTGGTACACGGCACGGCAAACTGATTTATAGCAAAATAGACAAACGTTGGACTTCTCAGTAAAACAAACTGGACAGTCATACCAACTCGCTTCTCCGCGCAGGGCCTAGTAGCCCGGTGGTAGAAATTTGAATTATGGATGCGCGGCTGGCGGTTCGAGTGTGACAGCATTCCGATTGTCCCCTTCCCCGCAAAAGACGTTGCAAACTGTCCTAAGCAATGCCTTTGTCAGTCTCGAATCAATTTACCTTCCCACAATAGATCCTGCTTGACTTATACAGCAAGGGTGTGGGTTGTTAACTTAGTGCCAGAGCTGTGTGTCAGCGTCGCGACACGTTATCATTCTCTGGCCATTTTATTAGGTCGCTTTGCACGCTAGTGCACACCTCGGCGAACTGAAAGCCATTTATATTGCTCGTACGAAGCCGAGCCGTTGGGACCCTACCTTGGCATACTGTGAGTGTATCTTGAGACTCTGAACTTGTGGCAGCAGCTCGGCCACCTTGTTCCAGTTCTTTAGCTTGATGTACATCTGCGCCGCCCGGTCGTACAGCGCGCCCTTCTCGAACAGCACGGCCGCCTCGTTGTATTGCTGCGGGTCAGAGCCGGGCGGGCCGTTTTCGAAAGACCAGCGCTCACGCACCACATAGTGACTTAGACAGGAAGTCATTGGGTTGGCTGTTGGGAGTCCGCCCGCCCTTGTTGGTGAGCATCACAACACCGGAAACGTAGTCCAGCATCAACCGAGCAGCCAAATATTATGAATATTATATTCAGATTGTTATCGATGCCAAGCAGCCAGTACGAACACAATGTTTTGGATGATCACAGGATGGTGCATTTACCTTAAGTTAAATGTCATTATTAATATCTACGTCCAAGGGCGCCTCCTCGCCATTTCTTCCTAGCCTTTAACCAGATGAGGATCCTCTCACGATGGGTGAGTTGGGCATACTGGCGGGGAAGGGAGTTGTTAACACCAACCTTCATGCCTTCCAGTATTTCGGCACATTCTTTCTTCAGGAGTTTGCTGGGCGAATTAGTAGCCAGTTGCACGCCTTTCCGAATGTCTCCGCAGCGGATAGAACATCTGGGGAACAGGCCCAAATCAAAGAGCCGAACATCAGTGGAGCAGCTGCACGGTACCGCCCCAACTGAGCGCGTGTTAAACCCGAGCCAAGTCCCCGGGGGGAGCAGACGTGTGTGGCCGCACCGTGCGACTGGAGAACAGCACGGCACCGCGCCGGCGTGGGTGACGAAGTCACTGCACTCCCAGGCATGCAGCCCAGCAACGTACGCTTAGCTCGAACATGCCCAAATGTCCACGCCAAGCCGCCCGGTCAGATCACATAAGGTAAAAATAGATGTCTGTGCACAAGCGGGTGCTCCTGTATTCTTGACTGCAGGAGCTGCTAGTGATTATCATTTCATTTCAAGACAAATTGGCGGAACTGTCCCCTAAAAAACTAGCAAGGAAAACTTACGGAAAAGATTCAACGGCAAGCGTCTCACCGCACGTGACTTGTCTCACTGAATAAGGTGCAGCCGCACCAGACTTAGTTTGAAAGATACACATCCTAGATTCCACTATGGCATGAAT